TTTAAACATAGCAACAATATCAGGCTAGTGTATCATAATTATGAATAACAATATGTTTTAAACATAGCAACACTATCAGACTAGTGTATCATAATTATGAATAACAATATGTTTTAAACATAGCAACACTATCAGACTAATTTCGCATAATTATGAATAACAATATGTTTTAAACATAAAATACTTTTCTAAGAGAAACAAACGTAATCTTCTTTATATCACCCTTTAAAAAGTTACCGTATTTTAGAGATGTTCCACTAGTGTCGTTTAGCTTTACTGCTTATAGTCCTAGTTTCTAGAAAGACTATGATATGCTATGACACTGTTCAAAACATCCATAAGATTCTTCGCTGAAATGATTGTTTTTTATATTGTTGTATATTGTGTTGTCTAAAAAATTTCTAATCCACTGATGCATTGTTGTGACACCTACACCCACATAAATCTACTGGATAAACAGATCATTCTATAAAAAACACACACGTACACCCACATAAATCTACTGGATAAACAGATCATCCTATAAAAAACACACCTACACCTATATAAATCTACTGGGTAAACAGATCATCCTATAAAAACACACACGTACACCCACATAAATCTACTGGATAAACAGATCATTCTATAAAAACACACACGTACACAGATAAACAGATCATTCTATAAAAACACACACGTACCTAAGAGAAGTTGACGACGTTTTCTATATTTATAATATATTTAAAACACAATTGTTGTATCTCAATATAAAATGATCACATCAAATATTAATTACTTTTTGTTGAGACAAATAACGCTATTACTGTCAAGTTGATTGAGTGATTTTTCAGTCATAAAACATCTTTGTATTTAATAGCAATGTTTAAATGTTATGAATGAACACCAACTCTTTATATATATAAATATGTGTGTGTTCGTGTACAATTAGTACATACTCACATTTCAAAAAACCCTTATCTTATCAACTTACTTATTATACAAAACAATGTCAGGTCTCCAAATATGGTCAGAAGGTACGTGTAGCATATCTACTCCTCCGTATTCTCTTGGATCCCATCGAAGTTTGTAGTCTTCCCAATACTGAAACATAAGTTAACGTTACTTTGGATCTGGGAAGATAACGTAACGTTTAGTACGTATGATATATATATTTTTAACATTATATATAGATATATATATATAATAGTATATAAAGATACAGTATAATGTGTAATGTAGAAAGATGTTGAATGATATATTCTTTCATCGCACGCTTTTGTTTTGCATTATATATCTACACAATATGTCTACTAGTTTGATTTATTAAACAAAGAAGTTTGAAAAAGCAGTAAATATTCGATAACAAAACATTCTCCCTGTTGGTGTTGAATTATAAGTTAAAAATATATTCTTAAAAAATGGTAGAAAAAACACACTCCATAAGTCAACAGTTTGTGAAATACAGTCTTAAATAATAAAACTGAGTGGCTACAAAGCTTAGTACACACACACAAACAATTGTTTGTACATTACTGTTGCTACTTGAGTGTTTCAAAGTTTAAAATCCCTGCATAACATGTAACCTTCGTTACACATATTTTAAACCTAGATTGAAATCATTAAATTATAGATGGCGTAGTTCATAAACTTATCTTTATTTTAATTACTTGTACTTACCTGTTCAACCCACACGTTTGTCGTCATGATCTGTTCCTTCAAATTCTGAAACGTAAAGAAAATCTGTTTATAAATTTATCTATACTTGCAGATGTACACGTGAGGCGCACGGCGAGAATTTTATGAAAGTTATCAAATCATTTATATGATTTATTGATTTTATAGAAAAGGGCCACAGTTTGGTTTCATCTAAGGCCACATCTTTACTGGGGGTCTGTGGCTATGTATGTGCTCACAACCTTTTTTTATCGGTTGTTCTTTCCATTCTTGATAAGCTTCTCGCACTTACTTTCTTTGGTGTGATCACCCTTTGATTGATGTTTAAATAAATAAAAAAATCATGTGGATATTTAGATGTGTTATGATAATGCACACACTGTTTATAGGTGCTGTTATGAAGTGTTTATATCAATGAATATCTGATGGAGCTATGAGCTTTGAAAAAGAAGCTTTGAATAATTATGAATATAAAAATGTGTTTGTTTTTGTTTCCCGAAAGGTACCAGTAGCAACATAAAGATTGAAAGTACACATGAATAAAATTATTCAGGTCCATTGGGCTTCATTATTTAAACAACATTATATATTCTATTTTCGTTTTTTATCAAATAACATGTGACATAAAAACGTCTCCCCTAATATAAGTGTGTCTATCTTGAAAGTGTGTAAACAATGTGTGAAAAGGAAATCATTCAAATAATTGGTCGGGTTGGAAAACTAATTGCATTTGTAGTATCAATGTTTTAATCATTTATTATTATAAATAGCGTTTCTGTTTTTGTCCTAATTATGCCAGTTATGATTGAAAGTTCACAGATTGTATGTTTAACCAACCTAATGAAAGAGGAAATGGAGAAACCCCATCAATACCCCTGGTGGTCACCTCCACTGAATGATCTATATTTCGCCAGCACTGGTACTATGAAATCTATTCATTTTGAAAGAAAAATAACTTTTCGACACATCAAATCATTCCTAGTTCATCAAATCATATTTAGCAGATCCAAATGTAAAAGCCTAGGAGGAGAGTTTGAGGACAAACAAACAAATCTCTCTTCAATTATAGCAGGATTTTGCAGAACACATTAAAATATTCCAAAATCTCTGATTTCTAAATTATTTATTTCAGCTTCTTTTAATTGCATAATTAAAAAAAAAAACGACCTTAGAATGTGTATGTGTATTTTATTTTTAAATTCTACGACTTTTATACAAAATTCAATTTAACAAGATAGATAAAAATGACGGAAAATATCAGAATTACTCAGCTGGATTCAAGATTTAATTTTCGTTTCATTCTGATATCTCTTTGTGCGAATCGCAAGTTCGAGTCCCGTCACCAAACATGCCTGCTTTTTCAGCCCCGAGGGCTTTATGATGTGATGGTTAATCACATTTTTCATTGGTAAAAAGTAACTCAAGAGTTGGCTGTGGTTGGTGTTGATTAGTTGCCTTCCCTCTAGTCTATCACTTCTAACTTAGGGATGGCTAGCGCACATAGCCTTTGAGTAGCTTAGCACGAAATTCCAAAAACGAACGAAATGAATTTATTTTAATGTCTGCTTGTGCGGGCTGTTATTCACTCCAAAGTTTACAATATAATAACAACTCAGTAGTTCTGTACGTTCTTTTATTCCCGTTTTATAAGAAAAACAGTAGAGGTTTTAAAAATTGATATCTACTAATTTTCAGCGACCACTTCTAGATGAATACGTAGCATGTAACCATGGCAATTTTTGATTAGGGTTTGTGAGAAATAGTATACTATTAGGTTTCGCATAATGAATAATAATTTATATGATTATCGAAATTAAATCACCGTGTTTTTCATCACTGCATCATATAAATCTCCTTAAGTTTATTTCAGAAAGTTAGATTACCAATCAATATATGGGTGTGTTTTCTTATAGCAAAGCCACATCGGGCTACCTGCTGTGTCCACCAAGAGGAATCGAACCACTGATTATAGCATTGTAAATCTGAAGACTTACCGCTGTCTCACCAGGGGACTACAAATCAATACATTGTTAACACGCACACAGCGGGAAAACCATGCTGACGATTCAACCTTACAGGTTCTGTACGATCACAGGAAACAAACGAATTTTTATACTTGAGAGAGTACCGGACTGATGGCCTAGTGCAAAATATTCATAGAAGCTTTTATAGTTTGCAAGTTAAATACAATGAACACTAATTATTAATAATTGTAATTATTATTATTGCAGAATTTTGAGCAACTCGTTTGATATAAAGATTACATAATTAAAGTTTTATCGAGTCGACTGATGAAATGTAATTTGATTGAAATTTAGAGGTATTGTAAGAAACTACAAAACAGAACTCTCGTACAT